TTCTGCAAGAACCCCTTCCGTTTGTCAACAGAGATGGGGGCACCCTCAGTCAAACCCATCGTTTGCAGTTAGGCCCAAGTAGGGGAGGAATTGTGCTGAGCACAAAGGCGCACCTTGCTGAGATTGCTCAAATCCCACACCATGGGGATGTTGCGGTCCTTATTCCTGCCTTGGGCAATGCTTTGCCTCACATTGCAAAGCGACTTGAAGGTCCATTCGAGATCTCACTCAATGACAGCACTGCAAAGCATGCCTACAAGCGCTTTGATTGTGTTCTCTGGCACAGTTCGTTTTCAATTGCCCCATGCCAAGATCAAGCTGACTACATCCCCAAGTGTTGAACTTGTGCTTGAGATTGATTCACGACTCATTGCGAAAGGTGATTTTGACAAGCTTAAAGAAGCTCCGCTTGCGTCCTTTAAGTCCCTCGTCCAACAGATTGCACCGCAGATTGACACCAGTTTTGTCCTGTATGGTTATCGCACTGCAGCCCACCCAGGGGCATCGAAGCAGGATTTCCAGATGCAATGTGTGCTAAAGGCACCTGCCTTGTCTCGCAAAGCTTTGATTGAGTCGAGTGGCGCAACAGAGCTCCTTGCCCGCGATTACATGGAAAAAGGCAAAGGGTCTGAAGATACAACTGTCCTTCGCGCTTTTGGAACCCAGTGCTGCCGGAGCTTCAAAAGATGCGCGTCGCGGTCAATGGCACACCCGGGTTTGCTGGGATCATATGACCCGTAGAGGCCTAGCTGTTCGAGGACCGATTCCATCAAGGAAGCAAGAGCTGCGTTGATGGCAGGGGACCCGAGACTCACGGCCGACAATATGCACGTGGTCCCTCGATGCACTGTTGAATTGTCCGGGTGGCCCGCCGCCACTGATGCTGCAAATGTTGTGAAATCAATGCTTGCTGCTATTGGCACTGCTGTTGTCCCTCTTCGGACGTATCGAGCCGCAGGCGTCCACACATAGGTCGTTGCAGCTGAAAAGGCCCCGTCAGCAAGCCGCTTTACCCTTGAAATCAATGGAGAGGTAGCCGAAATTCTTCTGCAGGAATCCCAGGGTTTTCAGCAGCCTCGACAGCAGAAAGGCAAAGCCAATGGCAAAGGGAAGCAGTCATCCTCAATCCCCGATGCCTCAATTTCGTGGCCGACCAGAGCAGTCCCGTCCGTCCCTGCTCGACAGGCTCGAAGATCGCTTTGATAAGCTTGAGGCCAGACAAGTCACTTTTGAGAGTCGTGTTGACACCGAATTTGACACCATACAGGACAGTCTTCGCCAGCTCCGCGAATACCAATCCGAGGTTGCGTGAACCCAGCGGCGAGTCTCCGCCGACAAATTGCCCAAGAGTGCCTGACGGTTAGCTCCAGAGTCGATAGACCTGCACTGCTGATTGTGGTAGTCGGGCACTGTCATCTCAACTGCCATTGATGCCCTTGAAATTGTTCGCGAAGAGGTCGACCCAAATTGTCACAGCTTGTGAGCTTGGAAGCGGCTGCGGTCAAAAGTTGTCGACAAATTTTCAACCAAACACGCATTGTCTTTCAAATTCAAGAAAGGCAAAACTTCAAACACATTGTTCATCGAGTTGTTCTCCGAAACGAAAAGAAAGCCGGGCTCATTGCGAGACTAAAGATCTTGTAGTACATATTGTCTATGACATAGTATGCGCACAGTAACTAAAGTACGCCATGGCTTGGTTCCCCCGTGTATGTATTGATCACGCGTAGATGTTGCCATGGTTGTGAAACTGTTTGTACGATCGTTGTGCAGTTGTGGTGTTGTGGGCAGAATGCCCGCCATGTAGAGGTGTTTGTTAAGCACCTCTGCCGGGACATACTTTGTTAGTATGTCTGCTGGGTTGTCGTGTGCGCTGATCTTGTGTATTGATAGGAACCCGCTTTGTACCAGTTGTTGTATGAAGAGGTACTTTAGGTCAATGTGCTTTGCTTTGTTTGATGAGCCAATTCTTGTTGCTATGCTCTTGCCGCTCGTGCTGTCTGTGTGTATGCGAATGTTCACCTTTGTTGTTGTTGCTTCCTTGATGAAGTTTGCTATATGTAGTCCTTCTTGTGCTCCTGTGCCAATTGCATAAAGCTCTGATTCTGCTGATGATAGTGCTACTACTGCTTGCGTTCTGCTTCCAAATTGCACCACGGATCCCATCATTGTCACGATGAATCCACTTGTTGGTTTTCTTGCGCTTGGGCATCCTGCCCAATCCGCATCGACATAAATGTTGAGGTCGATGGGTTCCTTGGTCTGTGGTGTATGTGTTGTCCTCAGGATCATCGTTCAACAATGTCCTCGTTGTTCCCGTCTGTTCGTCGGATGATTGTTCGTCTGTAGTTGCTCAATGTCTCCAGTGGTACTGGACAATTGTCGCCAGGAACAAAGAGAGCCTTTCTCTTGTTCCGGTGCAATGCATCCTTCGTTGTTGTAGTTCCAATAATCGCTATTGCCTCCAAGGCCTTGTTGTGGTCCATGCCTTGTCAGTGTTGTTGGGGCAATCATTGCAATCATGCCCTTTTGTGTATGTCTCAGCTGTTTGTTGATGTTGTCCCAGGTTCATGATTGTTGCTGGCAAGTAGTAGAGGTTGTGCTGCTGCACTAAGGGTCATGGCGCATTGTGGGAGTGTCGTTGAACCTGATATCGAAACCTTGTTCTGCCCGTCTTGTCACTGACAGGATTGGGTCATGGATGTCACACACATAGAAAGGTATGACAATTGGTTGTCCTCTGGATTGCATGTAGACCCATCTCACTCCATAGCATTGTATTGTCTGGTTTGTCACTGTCCTGAGGTTTGGACTTTGTGCTTGGTCGATCTTGTACACTGGATAGTTGTCTGCAACCATAGTGGGCAGACATGTGTGGCTGCTCCACTGTCGATCATGATGTGCATAGTGTTTGTTGCGCCGCTGTTTGTTGTAGCTGACTTGTTTGTGGTCATTGCCATTGCTGATCATGGCAATGACATGGATTGGCGTCATGTCGTGATTGCTTGTGGATGGGATTGGCGGAAGTGGCTGTTGTCCTTGTTGTTGTCTCGTGTAGTCCTGACAGTACCACCCATTGTCATAGTAGTCGTCGTACCATTGTGCTGTCGTGTCTTCCATGTCATTGCTTTCTCCTTGTCCAACGTTGTGTATTGCCACTCGGCAGTCTTTGGCGTAGTGTCCTGTTCGTCCACATCTGTAGCATGTGTCTGTCGCTTGTTTTCCTTTGCTCTTTCCTTTGCCTTTGCTGTATCCTTTGCTGAATCCTTTGTTTCCTTTGTTGCCTCTTCCGAATGGATTGCCGAAGCCGATCGGACTGTTGTTGTAGCTATTGAACCCTTTTCCTCCATACTTTGCTTTTCCTTTGTGGTTGACGTTGTAACTGTTGTATCCGTAGCCGTTGTATCCTCCGTAGCCTTTGCCTTTGTTCTTTCCTTTTCCTTTGCCTTTTCCTTTGTAACTGTTGTACTTGCCTTTTCCTATGTGGATTGCATCAATGTCCATCGGTGCCTGTCCACCACCGAAGCTTGTTGCCACGCTGGATGATTGTGATCGTACTTGTTGTAGTTTGCTGAATGCTGTTGTCGATCTGTAGTACTCAATGATTGTTTGCTTGACTCGTGCGTAGTTTGGGCTTTGTCCTGAAAGCAGTTGTAAGTGTTGTTGTGGTGGTCCGCTTGTCTCGTTGAGCAATACGGATCTTCACAGAGTCAGGGAGCGTTTGTCCATTGTCTCTCTCGCTCAAATCGTTGTAGCTCAAACTCCCATGTGGAAAATGATTCTTCGAAATTGTTCTTGTCAAATGTGGGTTTCAACAATCTTGTCAGGTGTCCTATGGATCTTGTCCCCAATGGGATGGAGAAGCGGATGCACAGTTGTCGGTACATCTCGAAGCCGATTGTGTGTTGGTATTGTCTGCAGGCTGTAGCTGCTGCTCCTGTTGTTGCATTGATGAGGATGTACCTCAAGCCGGTGCTGAGGCGAACATGTCGTTCACCATCTTCGATTGTTGACGCCGCTGCTCGTAATTGTAGTTCTGTGAGTTCTGCTGTGCCTCGTTCTGCTGCTTGTAGCAGTTCTGTGTAATCGTTGTCTTGCAATCCCATGTACGCTGTAAACTTGTATTTCCATTCTTCGAACGTGCCATAGTCTCCATTGAAGAAAGGTGGTTTGAGTTTGTATCTGTTCATGTTTGCCATGCTTGTAGTTGTCTCATCTTCCGGAACTGGAGGTAGGCCATCTCCAGTTTGAGCTGCTGCTTGTGGTGCTGCCATTGTTGCAGCTGTTCAAGCTACCTGTTGTAGGGTCAAGGCTTGTCCTCTGTTGTCTGTGTTTGTGTGTTTGTTCCTGTTGTAGTATTGGAGCTCACCTGGATTGTTGTTACCAGGATCCTTGCTCCGCTACCATGTAAAATTCAGCAGCTGTTTGTCTGTCGTTTGTTTGCGCACGTCTCTGTATTGTTTTCCTCTTGGCAATTGTCCTTAGGCTCAGCTAGGCTAGGCTCAAGGCCTTTGATCCAGGGTGCATTGTATGGCGCCAGGCAGTTGTACATGAACAATACGATGGAGTAAGTATGCAATTGTGAAAAAGCTTCTATCTTGACATCTCTTTGGTTCTCTTTTGGTTGGGTTCATCATTGCAGCAGCCCAAGATCCTAATGAAGAACCAGAACAGGCAATCAGTTTGTTATTGCTCGAGTGCGCTAAAACATGCGCTGCTCCAACTGTTGATGTGCACTTGAAGCTGTTTTGAGCTGCGCTGGTCCTTTTTCTGCGGATGGAGCTGGTAGGGTGTCCGCAGCCATTTCCTGTCACAGTTCATCCTCATAGACAGAGGGCAAAAGCGCCAGAGAGTTGACTTGAACTCTAACTGCCTTCGGTGCGTTGAAAGTGTGGGAACAAAAAGGTTGGCCTTCAACGCCTTCAAGTTGGCAGTGCTTGACCCAGTTGGCGCGCCAAGGAAGTTAGTTTAAAAACAGCAAACTCTATCCAACACCTAGACGATTTTTCAGTTTTCTGACAGCGCATTTCCTATGGCTTGGAGACGGCTTACTGCACTACCTCGCATGTCTTTGAGAGCAGCGTGGCGTGAACTCATCCCGGCGCCCAAGATAAGATGCTCAAACTACAAAGCAAAAAAGTTTCCCTTCACTTGCCTGACAAGTTGTATGCGAACCAGGCACTTCCTGCAGTGTCCTTGGGCGTCAACATCGTCAACGTAAAGCGCGTGGCTTGCAGCTCTGCCAACAAGGTGAGGGTTCTCTTTCAGATTTTCAACATCCGTATTCCAAGCCCTAAGGAAGATGAGAAACCCGCTGACAAGCAAGCCGTTGCGAAGCTGCACTGTCGAAAGAAAGGAAATTGGAAAAGAGAGAGAGAGAGAGAGCGGGCTGCATTTTCAATCCCAAGTAAAAACAGTCTTGGCGACCAGACACTGAAGAGGTATACCGCCTACATGACTGTATTTGGCGCAGCCAAACGTGACAAACCTTGGCAGAGGTTTCCCAATTCAGTTAACGCCACAAACCCGTCTACATAAGGCCCAAGCTCTTGATGCGAAACGAGCGTATTTGTTTGCGCGCGTGGAACTTTTCATGGTAGTGGAGCCACCCGGGGGTTCTTGAAAGATACCCAGCAGGAAGGTCGCGGAAGCCTTGAGGCTCACGAAGGGGGCGAATGACAAAGGCAAAGCTCAAGGCTGTGGAAGCGCAAGCAAAGTTCTGAAGCGCTTGGATGGTCAGGGATACCTCATGGATGGTGGCGTAAGAGACAGGCCACGGTCGTTTTAGAAGGCCAGGATGGACACCAATGTTGTCCAACGTGTTTGAGCTTCTTTTTGCCTTGGGAAAGTTGGTGAGAAAGGGTTGAAACCGAAGCTGCAAACAGTTGAGCTTTCGAGGCGCAGGTCAGAAAGGTCTAGGAAGAAGCAGATGTGAGAGCGGGGAAGAGAGCCTTGCAAAGACCCTTTCACCTAGCCGTAGAATCCTTCCTGGTGATGGCAGGAAGCGAAACAAGAAGGCAGCTTTCCACAGCTTAGCTGGATTGAATTTTTCTTGCAGGACGGTGGCTGCGAAGAAGGAGAACCCTTGTCCCAGGAGAAGATTCTTGTTCCTGCAAGCTCGCATGAGCAGCAGAAGCTGATGAAACGATACGGTCGATGGCTGGTGTGGCAAGAGCCTCGAGGGCGGGGGTGCATGAAGATGACGGCAAGCAGAATGACGAAGTTCCATGTGAGGCCGAGCCTTTCTGCGAAAGTTGAGGGAAGGACTGAGGAAGTGTGGCCTTGGAGGTGGCAACAATGAAGATGAGGGGGCAGACGGTTGGTGCATCATTATGTTTCACTTTGCGGAAGATTTGAGTTGGGTCGTTGGGGGCAAAGGGTTCCACAGGGCAAGGGGCAGATCATTCCGCGGATGCCAAGCAAAGCTGAACGCCATGACCCATTGGCCTACCAGGCTTGTTGCCCACACTGTTGCTGCGCGAGGAAAAGACGTTCCCCACATCAAGGGCGCAAAGCAAGGATCTCGAAGTTAGAAGGATTGATACAGCAACCAAGGGATTTGAGCGCAAGGGCTTCCACAAAAGCGAGTCAAGGTTGCAAAAGCGCCTCATGGGTTTTGAAGGCGAAGAGCTTGGCAAAGAGGAGCTTGAGGCAGGGAGAGAAATGCGGGAAGCTAAGCAGAGTTTGAAAGTTGCGAGGGTGATGATTCAACGATTGCAGTCAAAACATGATTCCCACCAAGTTCAACTATGGCAAGCCACCTGGCCCTAGAAGTTGACAAGATTGACTCTCAGCGCGCTGTGGCAAATGTAGATTTTGGGCCAGGCGCCCAGCCAGCAGGGCGGAGGTGGTTCAGTTGGAGCAGATCGCCGTGATCTTGCGCGTGATCCTTCTGATCTGTTGATCTGGGCTGGAGTTGGTGTTGTTGAGAATGGTTTGGAGGATGGGCGAACCGTTTGTGAAGTTCCAACAGGCGTCTTCTTTTTGACAGCAACAGAGAAGAAGCGATGCAGCAGAGGAGACAAGAAGGTGCAGGAGAAGGAAGTGAAGTTACGCGAAGAGTTTGGTTCCGTAGAGGATTGATTTCATGGGCAGGAAAACAAACGGATGCCTCTTTTCGCCTCGTTTGCTTGAGCCTTCTGTAGGCGCGGTTGGGTGTCAACTGAACTGGGAAATGTCTGTCGCTCTGCGTTTTTGGCATGGCCACATATGGAGAAACCTGCGTAGGCCACATGATTTCCATCAAATCTGCACCTGTACCAGCCTGCTGAATTTGGCTGATCTCTTCATTTCTTGTTTCCTTGATTCTTGCCATGGCCCTTGGTGTCATACGGCCCGGCTGCCGCGCTTTCCTTTGCTGCTTTCTACCTCATTCTCCTCCTCGTCTCCTTCTTCACTGAAGCTTGTTACATCACTTGTTGGCCTTCTTCGCGTATGAGGCCTTACAAATTCTCTTCATTGCCCGCTGTCTTGCGCGCACCGCAGTTCATGGGCGGTTCTGGTTTTCGACCAGATGTAGTTGACGATTCTCTTTGTTGCGGCTGGCCCCATCAATCAAACATTTCATAAAAGTGCAAATGCCATCTTGTAATGGGCTTATTTAGGCTGGTTCTTCCCAATGGCCATCCAACCGGCCACATTCTGCTGTCCGGCTCTGGATCACGAGGTCAACTATCTTGACTTCCAAAGAAAGAAGTCATATTGCTGATTCCGTGTGTCTCGGGCGCAGGCCCAGCATCTGCCGGTCTTGCTTGCTCCTTCTAAATCTCTTGAACCCCTTGCTGCTTCTCTTTCTGGCCTCTCCTCAACTTCCTCTTCTTCTCTTGCCAAAACGTCCGGATGTGTGCGTCGAGCTGTCCAACTTCATGCTATCCTGGTGGATCTTCTTGTTCTTGCTCCTCGTTTGGTTGCTCCTCTCTGCCAACCCCCGACGGTGGCAGGTTGGAAGCTTGTGGAAGGTTTTGTTCAAAGCGCAATGTGGCTAGTGGGCCATGCTATGTGAACCCAACTAACTAACCGAAAGAGGGTTGGGCGAGGACTTCTTTGTGGCCACATGTTTTCCTTCCAAACCATCAATCAACAGCTTGGAATCAGAACACGACGCAAGAATCATCGTGGGGTGTCTTTGAAGTGTGCACTCACTCTAAATCCAATAAGCATGTGACCATTACACTAGATGCAAAAATCTACTTTATGAGCTGACCCGGCTTTCCATAAGGTGCGAATGCATTTGAAAGAGGCTTCAACCCATGCAACGAGGAAGGGGCTTCAAACCAATGTTAGGGCTCGTCGTTTTGCTGAAGCACGGTTTCTCAGGAAGGCATCCATGCATTGAGTTACACTTGAGAACCCCTGAATGGGCGCAACAAGCAACTTTCAAAAGTGTCAGCCCAGGATTATTGGATATCTGGAGTATCTCAAGGTTGCAACAAGACTTTGCCTTGCACGTTCGATCTGTACGGCTGGACACTCAAAACATTCATCATTGCGTCGTAAACGTTGTGGATTGCTTTGTCATGTTTTGTTCATATGTTAATGGGGCTGCGATTTGGAGAGTTGCCGCTGCGCTTGCTCGGGTTTGAAGTTCGTCTCATGGTTTGCTTCCCAGTGCAAAACGGAACCCTTCGATTGATGTCCTTTGTTCCATTAATGTGTGTGTGACACCGTAGTCAACAATGGTTTTATCGGATCAACTGATCAATTGGACTGGATCCGCTTGATGGATTTCGTTTCTTTGGTTGAGGTGGAGTAATGGTAGATCCTGCAACGGTTCCAGCAGAACAAGATGCGTTCCGGACGATCCTAGTGTTTTGGTCGCACCTCTTTTTGGTGTTGGACTGAGCTTGGGTCGTTGCTTTGCTGGCTGCTTTGACAGTTGATGCAGCTCATGTGTTGATCCAAGGCTTCTTCCCTAGATGAATGGATGAAGCGCGGCAAGCAAGGAGTGTTCCAAGCTTGGTGAGTTTATACATGTGAATTTGTTCGTTGTAAGCGCACCTTCAGCGCTTTTCAGCCTTGAAAAGCAAGGTGGCTCCGCTTGGACATCAGCGCAGCTGCCCTCGTTCCCATTGCAATTTCTGAGTTTGGTTTCGAGTACCATCATGTTCGCAAGCTGAATTTGGACCAACTGACAGAATTTGTGTCATCACTTTCGGGGCGCATTTCAACTGTGGACAAGGCAGAGAGGGACTATGTCATGATGACAAAATGGTTGCCAAGCTAAGAACACTCAAGACTCAAGCTGCCACTGCACCAAGAGAATTTGTGGTAAGTCCTGCTAAGTATGTCCACACTGCTCAGGCTGCCCTCTAACTGCCCGAATACATTGCCGCACAACGCTAGCCACACAATTGGAGTAGGTGCCCTTGTGACGAACTCAGAGGCGCACGCGGCACAAATAATGGACTCCGCGGACGTGTTCAAGTGTGCTCTAACACCCCATTTGCTCCTTTTTGATTGATCAAATTCATTTGTTCCAATTTCATCCAATTTCAATGCTTCTTTTGCAGGGCAAGATCTTGCTTGCGCGAGAGAAGTCTGGGCCAGCAGCGAGATCCAAAGTATGGAAGATTCCAACGGGTTTAGTTGACGCTGGTGAGGCCAGAGTCAACAGGCATACTGCCCAATCTCCTTGCTGTGGAGTTAGTGTCCCATAGGACCTTCATGAAGCTGCCCTTCGAGAAGTCAAAGAGGAACTTGTTGCATCAGTAGCTTTTCTCAAACTTTTCTCAAACAGTGCTGAGTAGCTGTAGACGCATTTGCAGGAGACCGGCATCGATGCTACCTTCGAGTATTGCGGAGCATTCACAATGAGTCATGGTGGCTTGATGCCCACTGGCGTCTCAATAGATTACTGGTATGATCTGGTATGGGATGAGGCCTTTGGTTTCTTTCACCCACCATATGTTCATGTGGCATTGAACGAAGTAGCCAGCGAAAAGAGGCAGAGATTTAACCCTTACATATGTAGTCAATTGCAGTCATCAAATCGAAGAATTGTATAGCATTGTAAATTGTAGGGCAAAGCTATGTTCTTGACGGGTTAGAGGGCCGCCTTCAGCACTTTTTCTGAAGGCTTTTGGCTTGGTTGACGAATGCGATAATCCTGTTTACTGCGTCTCACTGTCTATGTTGTTTCATCGTCGATTGTCACGTAAGACTCGCAAGTCCTGACAAATCAGCGAAGCTCCTTTGGTGCTTTATTCTTCCGTCCCATATACTTTCATTGTTTACGCTGTCAATTGCTCTCTTTGGTCTTGCTCATCGGCCTCCCGCCTACGATCATGATGATGTCAGCAAGCATAACTGTGGCGCTGTTGAACTTCAATATCAACGAAAATCATTCGTAATGGTTTGATACAAAGCACGCAACTCTCTTGAAGTACTCCTTGAAACTGTCAGTTTTGGTGGCATCCTTCCAAGAGGCCTTGAAGTTTACCAGTCTGGACGTTTGGTGATTTCTTGCAGTTGTAAACAAACTCTTGTTGGCTGCTTGCTGGCTGGCTGCCTGGCTTGCTTGCTTGCTCGCTTGGTCGCTTGCTTGGTCGCTCGCTTGCTTGCTTGTTTGCTCGGTCGGTCGGTCGGTCGGTTGGTTGGTTGGTTGGTCGCGCCGTTAAATAGTTCTGTTTGCAAACTCAAGTTTGTGGAGCTTTTTGGAGCTTCACTTGCAATTGCTAGGGGCTGGTGCTATTTGTAGCGGTCTTGTGCTGTGATGTGAGACTGAGGTGGAAACCTTGCACATGTGCCTCATTTGCAATGTTGAAGGGCTAGATTGAAAAGTATAAGTAAACAGTATCGGTATCAGTACGTTATTCATGTTCCTAGCCGGTCTCCATGTCGCATGCCTCTAAAACGTTGCTGTTTTCGCCTCTTAAGGCCTTTTTAAGAACTTCAGGTGTATTTGGTAATTCTTCAATGTGTTTGGCAAGAACCCTTGACAGCTGCCGTTGACAACATGTAGGTCACTTGTATCCAAGGCGAACAAGAGCAACCTCTTCTTTGTGGTGAAGTGCAAAGCCTTGACCACGGAGATTCAATTGTGTGAAAGTGGAACGCTCAGACAAAATCGTTGGCCAATGCCTGGCTTGATGTGCCTGAATTTGGTCCATTGTCTCAGGCGAAATTGCAGATGCACGGTGGTTTTCGAAGGTCTCGGCATCAGACGTGGCAGTTTTCCACTGCCCCACTGCCTTTGGAAAACAAAAAGTGAGTGCTGAGGAAGAATGGCTCACGCGAATGGAAAAGGGATCAATTTGGTACGAGCTGAATCAGTCCGCGTTGGATGCTGAGGCAGGGGTTTAGAGAACATGGATGCATTTGTCATCATCGGCCATCAGTCAGCTTGAAGCAAAATGCGAACGTTCCTTGGTGCTCCTCAAGTCTCTCTAGCAAGCAGCCCTTGATCGCTCTTGTTTCAGCGTTGCCCTTAGCACAAGAGGCTGTCGTTTCCATGAAGAGCTTGCCATGGGGAAGATCTCGGCCAGGCGTGAGCCGGCTGAATCTTGGCCTGCAAGCAGCTGGTCAATCTCCAATCATGACTTCCATAAAGCAAGGAATGGGTCTCGAGGCCTAGGTGAATACTCAATACTCGATGACTCCTTGCAAAGGATACACCTTTTCAGCTTCTTTTCAGCCCTGCTTCTCGAGAGGTCACCATACATCGCCAATTCTTCCTAAGCCTTGCAATTTGTGAGGTTTTTCTGTCCTGTGAGACGGTCAGCCTTGTGATCCAAGAAGCGCGAGTCTCCTGGTGTAGAGCTGATGTCAACGGGCCATGAGAGGGCTTCTTGTCACGCCGCCAGAATTGAAAAAGAACACCCAGCCGCAGAGCTTACTGTGTTTAGGAGATTCAGCCAGCATGGCCTCGAAAATTGATATTGACAGGCTTGGCACACCGGCGGTGCCTGCGGGCACAGGCTACATACTAGCCATTCTTAACGCAGACACTGCTCGGTCCGCGCGCAAGCGTGCCCGCTCCGGTTATACTGGAAATAGGCGTCTGCTCCAGGCTGGAAAAATGCTTCAAAACCACGCTATTTGCGCGCTTTTGTGCACTTCTCCGGCAGCAAACACTGTAAATACCATTGGTTTTAGGCTGTCAAGTGCTTAAAAACGCAGTGTTTACGAGGTTTTTGGATCGCTCTGCAAAAAAAAAGAATTTACGGCGTTTTGCGCTCACGACGTCAGTATTTACGCCGTTTTTGCAGCATTGCCAAAAACACTGTAATTTACAGTGCTTGGCGCCTTGGCGCGTGCAAAAAAGAAGCCCAAAACCGCCCCCAAAGGGTCCAAATTCTGTTCTCTTCCAGATCCATGATTGTTTGTCGATGCGATGTTTTCCACCGCCCTTTGTGGCCAAAAAAGCTTTTCCTTCACCCAGCATACACAACAGCATGGCATCGCCGGATTAAGGGCTGACGCCTAAGAGCGGACTACCGCAGGTGCAGGCGTCAGGGCAGGCCTTTTACGGCGTAGGCGGCGTTAGAGGGCGTGCCTGCGTTCTCTTTCTCTTGTTCTTCCTCTTTCTCTTGCTCGGTCTCTTCTTCTTTTCAATTCCTTTTTCTTTTGCTCGGTCTTTTCCTCTTTCTTTTTCCTTTTCCCTTTTTTCTTTGTTTCTGGAAGAGGAAGAGAAGAAGAGCCAGCAGGTTTCGTGGCAGACGCAGGGGATTGTAAGGATGTGGATTGTGGTAGAAGTGAATGTCGCGGTGACATTGGGATTGGCGTGTTAGCGGGTCTTGTTTTGAGGGGCTGGAATCGCGAAATTGCTTGGCAGGACTGCTTGATGTATGTGTTCCAATGGATGTTGCCGCTTGAGTTTTGGAGGAAGTTTCGTGCGAAACCCTCTCTTTTGATATGTGAGTTTCGAGGAAGTCTCGTACTTATATTCCTTCGGGTGTTTTTATGGGACACTTTTGCGAAACACTTATAGGACACTTTTGTGATTCACTCTTGGAGGACCTTCTTATAGGACATTTTTTAAATTCATTTTTACAGGACACTTTTGTGGACAATTTTTACGGGGCACTTTCATAGAACATTCCTGTAATAATATTCTTTAAAACATTCCTTCCGATGGATCATTATTGTGGGATACCTTTACGGAACAAATTTTATGGGACACTTTTCTAGGACGCTCTTGGAACTCATAGGAAACTTTTCTCTGACTTTCTGGTCACTCTTATGGGATATTCTTGCAGGAAACCGTTATGGCACACTCTTGTTATGGGACACTCTTGCGGGACTCTTTTTTGGAATACTTTTTTAGGACACTCTTGTGGGAAGCTTTTATGGTGCATTTTATTGGGACACTTTTGTAGGTCACTCTTCTGGGTTATGGGACATTTTTTGCGGTTTCTGGAACATTCTGATAGGACACTCTTTTACGACACCGTTACATGACACCCTTCTGGCACAACTATATCCAACATTCTTGTGGAAAGTTTTTGTGTGGTTTGATTTTTTGGGGTTACTTTTGCAGGACACTTTTCTGGAATATTCTGGGAGGACAGCTATGTGGGGCATTCTTCTTCTGGGACACTCTTATGGGACGCTTTTGTGGGACACTCATATACAACACTCTTAGAACACTCTTGTGGATCACTTTTGTGGGATGCTCAACACGCAAAAATCTTGTGGGATAGTCTTTGGGTACGTTTGGGGGAAGGCGGTGCTCAACAAAATGAAGGAGACGGTCATCACTAGGGTGCCAAACAGGTCGGCTTCTTTTCTTTCTTTCTCCATGTCACTTCCCATCGCCAGCTGAGGCATCAGCAGGACCAAAAAAATCAACAAAAAGACGTTCGTCGAGCGACACTTATAGAGCTCGATCTGGCGGCTGCAGGCGACATGGCTCGGCCTATTGAGGACATAGTTCAACTGGTCGTCGGTCTTGGCAAGCAAGACATTTGGTGTGGCCTGCTTATACCAAGTCACGTTCTCATCCTTTTCAATTTCATACTTGACGTGCTCATGGTCGTCATTTGGAGGTTCGTTAGGAATATACTCAGTGACGGAGGCCAACGGAACAGCTGGTTCATATTGAACGCTTTCTAAGCGGCTCTGCTCAAGCTCCTCCTTAGTCTTTTTCTTTGTAACTTTATATGTTGGATCCCATACCATCTTCAAGCGGCCGTGACGTAGCCGTTGGGTAAGTAGTAGACGAGTTGCTTCTTTGGCCAGCCCATCAGCGAATTACCGTTCGTTGGACATCTAGCGTAAGGTGCCACCCATGGCAGACAGGCGGTCTTTTATGACCTTGATTTCTAGCGACACTTTCTTGTCAACCACTGAGCTGGAAATACCTTCTCGATGGTATGAGTCGCATCAGTGATCATGACGGGACTTATCAAGGACGGAGCGTCCAAGGCATTCTTCAGACCCAGCTCGGGCTTCGCGAGCAGGCTCCAATATATGCTGGTGTGCTCCAGTGCATCGCAAGCCTGACCTCCGCTTTGTGCTTTAACTCCTAGCGATGATCTGGCGATCCTGCGAGTCTTTGTATTGCGCCAATCAAGGACATGGTAGGCGCCTTTAGGACCATCAGTTTGTAGAAGACTTTTGTTCACGAACAGGATCAAGTATCTAGTTTGAGACGAACCGTCACTCCTTGTGGCAAAGGCGGCATCAAAGAAGTAAACCACGCACAGCTTTTCTACCTTTCTAAGGTGGGCATAGTGAAGACCAACATCCGCATGCTCCTTGGCGAATCGAAGTAGTCGATTGGCGCGCGCGATCGTTTGGAAGTAGGCCTTTGACATCTGTCCAGGGTTTAGGGTTTAGGGCGTACGACAGTGCCACGGCAGCGCCCCCA